TCCCGCTTCAAAATGACTCGACACCAGGCGCAGATCCCTTTTGCAGGCTGCCCCCTCCCCCAATAAAATCAATTACAATGCTTGTTTAATGGTGTTTGTGGAGGTCTGTAATTTCTTTAGGAAAAAAGACTAGTTAGTGCCACTTCACGGGTCATTTTTTAAGGACAACGCGTTCAAACTCTGTTTTATCTCACCTAATTTGATAATAGCAAATGGTTGCACCCAATACGAACATGTTGCACACCATCCCCTTTCAAGTGTTTGATATCGGAGCTTTACAGTAGTCAAGTGTGCTTGCTGCTTACGCCAACACCAGAGGCTATCTAGCGCTCTGACTGGGGAGCTAAAACCGGAGCATTCCTCACCACCTTGGCCGCCCTTCACCCCTGTTTACCCTCGACTCGTGTACGAGTTATGACGTCATTCAGACACTTTGACGATGATCCGGGATTCCAGCGATTAGCGTAACATGCAGCCTGAAGGTTCGGGGAAGCAAAGGTCAAGAATGACAGAGTGATTCGGATGATCCGGAATTTAAAGTGTGGGTCGATCTGTTTAAAGGTCATTTGCGGGTGTAAACTGTGGATTGTGAGTATGGATCACTACTAACCAGCTGCTCCAAAGTCCCGCACCATTTACCAATAATTGAGAGATCAAGTCATCCATACACGTTGCAGATGAACATGGGTTAGAGCTCTTTTAAAAGTTGGGTACATTGTCACATAAGAAAGTGCTAGCTTTCCGGGTGGTTACATATTACAAACGATAATGTCCTCTTGTGACACGTTTCATCGTGCTTTCCTGCAACCTATTTTTATTAGGTTCTCTATTGAGGGATGAATTATTAGCGTTGTCAAATAAAATGATAAACATGAAATGGCACGGTGACAAAATGAACTATGGTAAAAAGTAGAATCAGACCAAGCTATACAATGCAGTTTGTGCTTTTTTTTACCTTATTGAACTATGTAAGTTATAATACGATGTTAAGTATATTGATTTGATGGGCTAAAAAACAAATCGCCGATGCAACGCGACATTTACGCATTTATCCTTATCGATAGATTAGCGAGTTATTAGCATTATGTCAGGTAGGTCATTGACAGAACAGAACTATGAGAAAAATCGTCCCAATGTTGACGAAAACAGGGCCAAAACAGGTTGTCAAAAACCACCGAGTCATTCAGGTCATGGCTTGAAAGTCAAGGGATGCAGCACTGCTTATTTGCACATTGTTTGATTCTTGGACATGCCCAAATGTATCTTTCATTCTACACACCTTTGCAATTCAGATACACAGCACGGAATAAAGCATACCCAAGAAGTCCTAAGCCATCTCCGCAGCACAACTGGATTGTCCCTGTACTGCTCCCAGAATAATTCACAAACAACCTACCTGGCTGTGGGAGTGTTATTAGATATAGGAGAAGAGACATGCCATCGTCTCCTGATCACCTAATCTGAGTGGCTGTGGTCACGACTTCTTTGTCAGGATATACATATCACCTACCGAAGGTGAGAGGTGGCTGGATGAGAGCTACTGTTTCATCTCAATGACATGCAACTATAGGCTATAAACTAATAGGTTATAAGGCGAGCATGCTGCCTGTAACGGAGCTTGATATCACTGGATGAACATCTTAGTGTGCAGAAACCCTATTTAAGAGGAGATTAGAAGGCAGTATGAAGAAAAACAAGGCAACTTCGATAGTAAATAATTGAGCACAACCGCACACTCCTATTTCTTGTGGACGCCGATTTTTTCGAATTTGATGATGGGCCTGAAATGACATTACAGTCCCAAAATATATAATTCCATAATCTGCTGACAGCTGGCTAGCCAGTGCTGCATCTGCTCTCCTGTTGACATCAGATGACCACAATTTGACACGTCACACGACACTCTGCTGACGTGGACAGACATCAGCTGATTGACTTGCAGCGACAGTCCTGGGTACCCACACTCCACGGCATATACAGCCAGCCTAGTACTCGTGTAATTCGTCAACTCGTGTTACCAGTTAGATGGGTTTTGAGCTAACTTATAATATGATCGGTTAATGATTAGCGTAATACTCAGAAGCAGATTGCGGTGTTTGAAGGATTTCTAATTTTAGACTCAAAGCGTTTAGGTACTATTCTTACTGACCACACCAGTTGTCTCCAAAAGGATCATTCGCTTATTGTTCCGGTAAGTATTTCATGGTATGCTGCACTTTCACCAATAGCTACGGCATTCGACTTATTCACAAAGGTTGCCAGCTTTCACCAATCCATCAATGCCCAAGCTTTCAGTGCATTTTGTTTCGCTCCCTTGTTTTACAACCTTGTTTTACTTTCATCCTGACTGAGGCAGACGGCGCACAGTCAACTCATACGGCGTCGTGCCTCAACATATCTGAACCGGCCCCAGCGCGAGGTTAATTAGGCGCCCCCTCCACAGCTGCCGCCGATTTCAGCTAATGGCCTCGCCCAGCTATCAGCACCGTCTCTGTACCAATTGGCACGCTCTCGGCCGCTGGGACGGGGTCAGATCGTGCCGCACCCCTCCCCTCCTCCCCTCCCCGGCCCGCTCTTCCACCAAGGCCAGGGCACGGGGACACGACGCGCGCGCCGTCCGCGATGCAGGGCACCCGCGACGTGAGGTAGACAGACGGGTCGGGACGAGACGGTCTTAGCTGCAGTCTGTATCGGTGTGGTCCGAATCCGGCCCTCACACTCTAGCCATGGGAGAGAGGGACCAGACCTGATGCGTATCTTTGTTCACACGCGTCGGATGCTTTCATCACTCCATCAGGGACACCTGGGAGCCGCAGGGAAAAATGCTGTCGCCGACTCGGGTCGCCGACTTTGATGTGGGAAGTTCTGGTTACTCTCGCTACGATGCGTCGCCTATTGCCGGGAGGTTTTGCCCGTTACATGCATCATTCATGAGTGGTCGTGGAGGAGACTGGCATTTATGCGATGATATCGCGCTCGGCTCTTAGCCTCGATGACCCCATGCAACGGTAATCCTTCTCGACCAGGATTCAGTGCATAATCGATGAATTCATGAGTCATCAACATTCAGTCCACGATTTCATTCATTCTGACAGCGTATTACTCGATGGACATGTGTCGCGGTCCATGTTTGTCAATCTCCAGTCACCCACACCCCTGTGCCTCACGCCTGTCAGTCGTTTCTGAGAATCTCCGCCGATCCCTGGCAGTACGATGTGCCCGCGGCTCGCTTCGCCAGCTCGTGGGCCGCCCTCCCCCATCGGTCGCCGGTCTGGCACACCCGATCTGTAGTGTGGGAGGACAGCCGGTACGGCTAGGGAGGAGGAGACTCACCTGCGCCGGAAACATGCCCAATTACCCACCGACACCGCAGCCTATCGAAAGAACGTCGGCCACCCACGCGTCAGGGAGAAAAACCGCAAAGGTCATCAGACTAGGCGGGTCCCAGCGCTGGTCAACGCGGGAAACGAAGGAACGAGAGAAGCCCGCAGGGAGTCCGGCGTCGGGTCTCGATCAATGTGGGACGGCGCTCGGGGCAGCGGAGCTGGGCTGATATCACCGGCCAATGTTTGCTGAGTCTCCGTTTCGGGCATATTTACGCTGCCAGTCTGCCGGCCTCGTCAGAGCCGCTAACTGGTGCCCAACATGCGTCGACGAAGAAAGTAAACGCGCCGCCATGTTTGTTGAAGCTGACGGAGATTCTGGGGAAGCTGCAGCGCGCTGCGCACCAGGAAATGGCCCCGGGCGAAATCGGGGACAGTGTGTTCCAGAGGGAGGCCACGACCTGTGGACACGGCGGGGCAGAGGCCTTGCGGCTGCCTGGAAACGCAAACAAATGGCGGACGGGATATATTTTCATGTTCAACAAAAGATGAGATAATGCAATGCCAAGGCGTGAGATTTCTTCGCGGGATGTCGACCAATACTGCAGGCCGAGCAGACACACATATGCACTTGTGAACGGTCACAGGCGAATAACCTCTTCTCGAAACTGTTTGCCTAAAAACTATAGAGTTTAAGATTTAAATCACCGTTTGAGCTGATTCTCACACATTTCCCCCGTTAGATGACGACAAACGGACACTGTGGAGATGGCGAGATGTCGCCTCTTCTCGCCGTGTGAGAAGAAGAAAATTGATAACGCCAGACAGTTGACGACCACAAAACAAGCCGACGGTGTGAAAACGGAGACAGTCACTTCTATTACCGCTACAGTGATTTAATTTTGGCATCACCTAGATGAGTCAGCCGAAAGGTGATCTAAACAGGTGTAACGCATCTCAATTTTATTCACCTTGACAAAAACAAAACAGGTGCACACATCACAAAGCCGCATCGATCAGTCGCTAACCTCGTTACCAGCCCCAGGCTGTGCCGACCTCTCTCTCACCTGCGTGTGGCCAGGGGGCCGTCTCTGTCTCTCCTCGGCCGCGCAGCCTCCTCTCTGCGCGACATCGCCCCGTGTCAATATTTGGGAAATCTGACCTGTCACCGGACGTAACCGCCCGGGGCGCCGGCGCCGCTACTGGGCCAAGGCCGTCGGAATCGGGAGCATCGGGCCGGCCGGCCGACGGCCCGGCGCGGCGCGGCGCGGCTGGCGGAAGCTGCAGCGCTCTCGACGATCGATTGTTCATCCCGGCGACACCGCGGAGGTGGGCCGGCCAGGCGGACGGCGCGCGCCGCACTCTGCCCTCGCGTCGATCCCGACAGAGAGAGGAGTGGAGGAGGAAGAGAGGTGGGGATGGGAGGGATAGAGGTCAGAGGCGACTGGTGACAGCTGGCTGCCGCAGAGATTGATAACTGTTTAAAAAGTAACTGTGTGACAGCTGGTTTGGGGTGACATCTGACTGTGGTGACAGTCACAGGTGACTGTCACCATGTTAGCTGAGTCAGGATCACCACCTTGACATCTGACTGTTGCAGAGGCTGTCGCGGCCACAGCTGACTGATTCAGGACAGCTGGCTATGATGACAGCTACCGCCGACTGTTGTCTCTTTAGCTAAAGTTGGTGACAGCTAGCCGAGGTGACAGCAACTGCGGTCGACAGCTACCTGACCGCGCTGCCAAAATAGCTGACAGTTCCCGTAACATCTGACCGCCGTCGAGACATCCCACTGCCAACATCGCGGCCGAGTGGCCCCGTGACGGCTCACTGTCCCGCCAGAGGAGGCGGCACATCAGAGGACGAAGGACGCCAGCCAACTGCCCCACTGCGCACCGGCTATAATGAGTGTCCTGTTCGCCCACCCGTGGCCAGACGGGGGCGGGGTCGGGCGGAGCGGGCGTGCTGGCTGAGACGGTCTCGGGTCAGACAGATTCACCATGGGACTCGAGGATAAGGCCTAGGGATTAGCGGCTAGCCGTCGTCAGAACGGAAGGGTGCGTGATGTTCTAGGGAGCGGTCGTGGCCTGGCTCAGTTTTTCTCGTTTCTCATCTGATGATTGTGCTCCGGCGCAGGCCTGGAGATCGGGGATCTTTGGTGAAGCCCCGGAGTTTCGGCCCGTGTGTGAACAGGACCGAGTGAGGCCCGTGGAACTGAGCAGACGGAGTCATGACCAGGCGCGGCGTGACTGGTCGGATAACGTCGGCAAAAATCGATTCACTGCCAGCGCCTCCTTTGATAATACTGCCGGTTAGTATTAATAAATTAAGAACCGGAGACCTGCTACTTTCTGAGGCACTGCTTTTGCATTAAATTTGAACAATAAAAGAAGAGATACATTCAATCATCACAAATAATAAATATTCAAGTACAAAACATGAGTTCAAGTTTCAAGTTTTCTTACTTCTGAAAGGTAAACATGCTCTGCAAACTAGAACAGCCTTCGATTTTAGCGTTTTAACTGTGTAAAGTCTGGAAGAGAAAAGCATAAACAGGATTAACATTAAACATATTCCCAAATTAGATTATGAAATTAAGCAGCACCAGCAGTTATCCAAGCTATGTCAGGTGTGCGTTTACCAGCCCAATAACCGCCGGCGGGCCGGTTGTTTGGCTGTGTGCCGGCGTGCGGAGGAGGCGGGCTTGTTTTCCAAGCCGACCGAGCCGTTTGTTTTGCCTTGTTGTCGGGCGGCGGCCGCGACGGTGTGGGGGAGTTGGCCGCATCTCCGAGAAGCCGCAGAGATCCCAGCGCAGACGGCAAAAACCGACGCGGCGCGGGCGGGGCTGGCGGGCGGGCGGAGCGGGGCGGGGGCGGGGCTGATGCCCTGTCGGTCCGGGCTGTGTGGTCCGCAGCCAGCCCTGCCAAGTTCCGGCGAGCTCTCCAACCCGCGGCACCTGCACCGAGCGGCTGCCAACGGCCGCAGATGCGGCCGCCGCCCGGCCCTGTGACCCTATTACCGGGTTTACGCGCCGGCGCAGCGGTAAAACACAGGATTAGACACTAAATGGGATTTGGCATCCAATACAAACGCGCCGAGCTAAAAATATGCTGCAAGGTGGGGCAAAAACAAATGTAATACAACACGAGTAGCTGACAAAGAGACAGGCTTTTCAAAAGCGAGAGTTTATAAACAAAACGAAATAAATTACAGTGGCCATCAAATGATGAGACACTGCCTTCCTCTCAGATACTGTGTTTAACAATCCCCCTTTTATACCAGGACTGAGGACAGCAGCATATTACCCGTATCTGAAAACACTGAAGACACCATTCAAAGTAGTTGCCATTGACATTGGCTAACTGCAGTGACAATGACCTCATATGTAAACTGTGATGAACAACTGGCCTTTGACTCCCACCAATGCATTCAAACTTCACGGCGAAACCTACAAATGACCGTATGATAATAAGGGTCACACCGCAAGGTCTGCATTTTTCACCAGCAGCATGATGCAAACCTGGGGGAGGCGATACCGCAAAAGGGAACTCTGCCAAGGGTTTTCCGGATCGACTACAAGGGTCTGGGTGACCAAAGGCAGCCAGACAGGAGAAGCTTCGCAAGATACCGTTCGATTCGGTGGAAAAGACCCGCAGTTGAGATTGAAGTTCCATGTTTCTTGGTGACGTGGGAGGTATCGTGTGCATTGTGTCACCGAGGGCAGCATCTGAATGCCGCCGGCTCACAGTGATCAGGCTCACCCACACGACAGGCGTTCAGGCCCAACAGGGGCTGGGCGGGGACTTGTCGCTGGCGTCAAGACTAAGGTAGAAGCTCTAAAACAACTGAAGTCTCAATGTCTTCCGAGTTCACAGATAGACTACTTTGCAAGTTGACGTCATGAACCAAACACGGCCACAAACACACCTGTTCCCCCACAATGTTGACAACCAAATCGGCAGGCAGGTGCTACGAGTCTTACATCAGGCAGGGTCCCACAAGCACCGGCGGTGACCCAGCAGCGGCACGGAGGCGTCGCCCGGCAGTCCCTACCCCCGCGCGGGTCCCGCCCACCTGACACACACGCAGGTGCGGACACGACACGGAACCCCTGTTTACGTGACCGGACCCGGCCCAAACCGGCAGAACGGGAAGGGAGCGGGCGGGCAGAGCAGCGGGCAGGGCTGCGTGACCACCTCGGGTAGAGATTGTCTCATGAGATGACACCGTTGGTCGCCAGGTGGACCGAGAGCCGCGCCCAGTCAGCTGATGCAATGGTTCTGACTTCTGACGGACATTGGAGAGATTATCCCTCAAAAGTGGATAGAGATATTATGTGGCCCATTCAGAATATGCCTAATGAAGGGATTAGTTTCAAATAATTCAATATAAATGATGTGAAGTCACCATACAAACGTCATGGTAAATGGATACGTCCAGAGGTTACTATATGCACATAAGACAGATCATGATGTATACTCGATCATCCATGCTTAGCGAGCCTCACGGGCTTTGTAATCGTGAAGAAGAAGAAGAGCGTCCCCTATGGCTTTACATTCCCCATTAATGCGTCTTTAGATGCTACATGACAGCAATCGATGTCAAATTATGTGCCTCGACTAGCCGTCATGCAACTTAGTGGAGTGTCTGGCAAATCCACACTTTTATTCTCAATATATCAATCTTGCCATTTGTATTATAACTATTTCTATCATTCAAACCTAACATGTCAATGGCCAGAAAGGCTAATCAACAGGAGCAGTCATATTAGCTATTCTGTTTACTTTCATCGATACATATGGCTTGTTAGATCCTTCTGAATTATATACTGCGACATACTGCGACAAATGAAGCCACATATGTGGCTGCATTTTGACTCCTGATGCGTAGTGGAGCAAGACTGACGTGGATTAATGGAGATCACATTCGGTATGAGCAGATTAATTTGATTGCCCCAGATGATTCATTGGTTTGTGCATATAATATGAGCATAGTTAAATGTGGAAATGAGCTAAACCTAATGAAATGCACTGACCTATTGCTCCGCTATTTTAATGTTAAACTTTAATTGGGAAAATCGTCCATAGTTTTCAAGAAGACCGCGTTTATGCCAGTGAGCGTCACTATCCCTTTTTGAAAAATATAACGCAAGGGAATTAAGTCCACACACGACATTGAAAGCATGGAGTGCTAAGATCATCGATCAGAAGGCAATAACAAATACGAAAGTAGCTGCTTAAAAAGTTGTTTTTATGACGTGTCAAGAAATACCACAATGGACCGTCTGCTTGAATTAGCTACCATGCTACACTCAACCCCAGTGCCTTCAATAACTGGCCTATAACCGGCACTCTGACTCGCCTGGCGACGGGAGATACCCACTCAGTCGTCACCCCTCCCCGTTCTGGCCCCGCTCAAAGCCGTATCTTTTCACACAGTGACACCGGCGCTGCTGAACGTTCGAACACCACCGGAACTCCGCGCCGGGCAGATCCGGTTCGATGCATTAGCGAACGGCAACGAGGCAGAAGCCAGACCGCGCCGCGGCAGACCGATTGTCGGGGATTGGTGTACGGATCGGTTCAGTCTCACCGGATTTAGAACGACCTCGGGGTACGGGTTCAGTCTCCCCGGATACAGAGCGGGCTGATGGCCGGAGAGGAAATGATCCTCCCACATTCGTGGCAATTAAAAGTTTGAAACTATTGAATATCATTTTGCTCTATGTAATAAGCAAATACGAAACAAATATGCCCTTTGGTATGGATGCACTAAGCAATTAATTTAGTCTGCATTGAACACAAATCCACTCAATTAGTTAGCTTGCTGCTTTTCCTTTGAAAGCGTATTCAAGCTTTCACTCAAGCACTGCAAATCATTAAGCACATTTACCGAGGTTTTAATCGCGTTACGCTACGCTCAGATGTCGTCTCTCGCCCAATCCTTGACACCTGCTCCGCTGTGCACATGTGCACACTGCTCCCGTCACGAGACAGTCCGATTCTGATCGGGAGAAAATCCACCTCTCGCGCGATGACGTCACGTGCGCAAGTGAGATGTGCAGAGCTTCGGCGATGCAGCGGCATGAAAGCAGGCCGCCAGATAAAATGTTCAAATAAAACGTCATAGTGCTGTAATTTGCACGACGAACGATAGATACTTCGCTGTGTGGAAGCACTCATTGCTCGCTATGACGTGAGAAGCTTCCGATTACATCATTTTAGAAATTACTCAAGTGTTCTCTGAAATAAGATGAAATAAGATCGGTGCGACATCCAATAAGCCGGAACAAGTGTATTTCGTCATTAGCGTGTTCTACATAGCCTAGAATGAGAGACATCCTGATTGTGTTATCAGTGTCTCTGAAAAAGGACAGTGTGAGATGATCGTGATCAATGGAAACATTCTAAATTCATTTTAGGTAAAAATGCAGCATCCTGTTACTTAGTGAGGCTCAGGTCAGAGTGCTCCTCGATTTGATTGATTGAGAAGTATATTGAGAGCTCAGCCATGCACTCTCAGCTTGACTAGGTCATTACTCGGGCTCTGAAACGTTTTTTCTTCACTGCCACACATAAAAAAATGGTGGAATACGAGTAAAAAAAAAAACACTTATAAAAATAGCACACACTTGAGGAAAATAAAACACTTGAAACCACCTCCCGGCTCCCACAAGTCACCACCCTTGTAATTACAATATGTATATCTGAACGTATGCGCGGAGAGTATGCGTGCATGTAGGCATGCATGCATACTTGTATGTTTGTATGCATGCATGTATGGATGGATGGGTCAATGCACTAACATATAAAGTGATTGTGCAACTGCACAAGGACACTTATACAGGCGAGCCTACCCCTGGGTGTTTCCGTAAAAATTGGCGCTCTATTGGCTTCAGGCTCCGCCTTTCAGTGCTTCCCACTT